CAGTAATCTCTATGCATATTCATTTCCTTCTCCCACCATTTCTGGCAGACAGAGGTGTAAAGAAGAATTAAAGAATTTGTTCAAAGTTATTCAGCTAGTAAGTGGGGAAAAATGGATTTTGAACTCAATGTCTACACGAGAATTTCATCATGACCTCACCACACTCCTTCCTATGACTGAAAGTAGACCATGCAAGCAAGAGTAAACACAGTGAGGGCTTCCTCTCAGGACCTTAAGTGGTTGTTTTCATATGACCTCAGGGTGATTGAGCAAGCATTTCTTTTGTATTCTAGAAGGCCAGTGTAATGAAAGCGAGTGAATGAAGCTGCCTTGCAGAGAGTATTGTTAGCTGGAAGGAGTGCACAGCACGAGACACTAGGATAGAGATTAAAGTGGCTTCTGACAGCTTCAGAACTGCAGTTATATAATATGAGGAGAGTGAGCAGCAAGCCACCCTTTGTTCCCACGTGGTCCCGGTTCTATTTATAAGTTCTGAGTGATAGCTGAAGGCTTTAAGAATGTTTTTCACATTCAGCAGCCTCAGTAGGAATGAGAAACTGTATTTCAGACTGGCAAATATAAGAGGTTCTTGGCCCTTTGCATCTGCTTCAGCCAGTCTCTGTCAGCTTCCCTTGAAAATGAAGTTTGAATGAATAAATTTGCCTTTTCCACAGTGTTTGTGTGGACACAGATTCAGTTAGGTTCTAGGTTTGTAACAGAGCTCTGCATGAAAACGAAAACTGGGAAAATTGCACTTTCTTATCCTTCTAAATTTAGCAGCCAAGTACCCAGGGCAACTCACACAGTTTCAAACACTGTACTGCCCATGGTCTCTATCAGATGGTGATAGTATCTAGCATGGCAGAGCAGCAGAGCATGAACCAAGAGGACCTGTGAGCTGTGAACACTTCTCCAGCTGCCCAGTGCCTCAAACTAGAAGACCACATGTCTCTCCTCTAAAATGTGTCCCTCCCAGCTTTCCAAACGCTTCTGAATAAGAGTGTCTACCAGGGACTAAAGTTCCTAAGGACTACTGTGTTTTAATGGATGTTGTTGCTAATCTAGTAAACTATTACCCTGAGTAAATGGAGTTGATTTTAAACCAGGAAGCTTCACTTTTCTGGTGTTTTTTGTGTACTCTTGAGTTGTCAACACACTAACTACTAGCTACAACCAGACTCTAGCTTGAGTCCAGGGCTCGATGCTGTTTGAGTTTGTTAATATAACTAAAATATGACTCGGTGAAGGCAGCAAGAGGCTGTGGCCAAGATTCCCAGAGCAAGGTTTCTTGTTTCATATAAGACCTGTGCTCTCTACTGTACAGTCAGCTTTCATGTCCCAGCTCCTTACCACTTTAAGTGCCTTGGGAGCAAAGTTTGAGTTTATCTCTTCCAGAGGGTTGCGCTCCCACCAGTGCTAAAGAGGGAGATGGCCATGGCCACATGACTTGTCAGTGACAAGACAGGAATAGAACTTAAGTTTCTCTCATTCAACTGTCTCTTGATGCATAAGGGGCAGCTCCAGGATTTAGCATCATAAAGCTCTGTTACTCCCTTTGGTTTGTGAGTTAAGAACTTGGACAGGATTCATTAGACTGGGCTTTGCTCCAGGTAATATTAACTGAGTCTCTTTCTTGCCTGGCTATAGCTAGGATGGACTAAAAGATGCCAGAACAACATTTTAACGTGTCTAGAGTCTCACTGCTTCTCCTATGGCCGTTCTTCCACCATGATTCTCTCTCAGATGCTCTAACATGAGCCGTGTATGTAACCACGGAAGGAAGGTGATCTTCCTTTAGGGAAAGCAAAATTTGCCAAGCTTCTTAAACTTTCCCCAACTTGACATAGTTTGACTTTTCTGCAGTCTCCAAATTAAGTCAGTGAGGCCAGTACAGATGCAAGAAGAGGGATTCTTGCAGGCTAGTGAGGCCATATGCACTTTCAAAGAGAAGGAATATATGGTGCCATCTCCACAGATTGACTGCAGCTGTCACAGACCAAGAAATGCAGTCTTCACTAATTGCCATACAGAACAGAGATGTGGAAAAGGATAGACAAGGGGGAGAGAGAGAAGCAGCCTGAAACAGCCCATGCTTTTTCACCTTGATGCCCAGTTGGAGTTGGATAGGTAGCTCTGCCTATACCCATTAGCACCCTTTGGTTGAGCTCCTGGTGTTCTTTATCCTTACTGGAGAGTAGGGGCAGCTGTTGAACTTCATAGGAGACATAAAGAACACGAGAAGTGCTTGAATCATCCTGCAGTAGACATTTTACAGTTCACTTTTTGAGCACTGCTGCCTGGCCTTGTGTCACACATTTCAGTACATATTGCTGAGACCTCTTGGGGTTGCAGTTCAAATCAGTGCTTTTCAGTGCTGCATACATGTGTCTTCAAAATGCAGCACACCTACAGGGGACCTTTTCAACTATAATTTCCACCCAACTAGTCAAATTATAATTACTCTTTACAGAAGACGAGAAATGCCTCAGGAGGTCTCTCTCCCTTTTTGTTCATGGCACAGAGGACTTTTATATAAGAGCAAAGGCATCTGAGACTGGAAAACCCTTGCTCTCACTTGTGGGAGCCCTAGCCACATCCTTGCTTTTCTACTCTGTCTTGGCTAAAGTCTCCCAAATTATATGGAGTATTCCCTTTTTCTGAGATAAAACTCCCAAAGTATTACAAACTTCTCTAGGAAATTGTTCACATGATTAATTTTTTCCTTCAAAATGAAGACTTTATCTCCTCTTCCTCTTCCCCCTCCTCTTCTTCCTCTTCTTCCTCCTTCTCCTCCTCCTCCTCTTCCTCTTCCTCCTCCTTTTCCTTCTTCTACTTAATTTTTTTTGCAATTTAATGACTCTGCCCAGGGTACCTTTTTCTAGAAACAATCAAACAAAATGCCCCCAGCTTCATATCAAGAGAGGAAATGTAAGAATAGCTACTTATCAGCTGCTGGGAAAGCTCGAGTTTTTAAGAGATTATCATTGTCTAGACAATGATAAGATTTCTGTGACAAAGTCACAGAGGTCTTTAGTTTCTCTCTCTTTCTCCTCTCTCTCCTCTCTCCTCTCTCTCTCTCTCTCTCTCTCTCTCTCTCTCTCTCTCTCTCTCTCTGTGTGTGTGTGTGTGTGTGTGTAGAAAAATGGAATTGCCTAGGAAATATAGGGTAGTGAACCCCAGTTTTCCATTTTAATTTTTATTGCTTAGTATTTTTAAAGACATTAATAGTTGACCACACAAAACCAACTCCATGTTTTGTTGTGGGCTTTCTGTTTCATCTTGTTTTGGCATTTATGACTTACTGCTTTTTTTTATTTTTTTATTTTGATTTTTGTTTTGTTTTGTTTTGTTTTGTTTTAAAGAGGAGAGAAAGAGCATAAAACCTGTGGGTAGGGAGGTGGAAAAAAGCCAAGAGAAGCTGAGGGAGGGAACACATGATGAAAATATCTTGTATGAAGTAAAATGTATATTTTATGTATGTTTTATGCAACTTTGTATGTTTATAGATAGCCAAAGGATAGAATCTAATTAGGAATACTTGAGATTCTGTTTGTTTGTTTGCTTGCTTGTCTCACCTTTTTATTGATTCTTTGTGAGTCTCACATCATGCATCCCAATTCCACAAATCTCCCTGTTTCTTCATATCCTCCCTCTGCCCTTGTATATGTGGGGAGCCCCCCCAAAAAAATAAAAAATTAAAATTAAAAAATTTGAACCTGGAAAAATCTCCTTGTGGAAGCTGTAGTGTGTCACAGTGTGTCACACAGTGCACCTTCATCCACACACCTGCACTTGCAGATGTTCACTGCAATGAGTCTTACTGGTCTGGTTCACAGCCTCTGGTTCTGCTAACCCATCAATACTGGATCCTCACTGGGACTCCTCTCAAATACCTTGTTGTTGCCCTATATCTTGGAGAACCTGTAGCTTTGGATCTGCAGAACCTATACTTTCACACACGCCAGCAGTTCATAGATGGGGTAGATGTTGGGTGGGCCAAGTCATACCCTGTATCTTGGCCTGAATGGTAGCTGAATTGGTAAGCCAGCCAGCTCTCCTGAACGCGCACCTTCAGGGGGAGCTTTCTAGCACTGCTTTGGCTCACACACCCCATGCTGCAGCTGACATGAGCAAGGTCAGCTCTCCATGGCTCATGCCTCAGAACTGGCTCACCTGTGCCCCTGCCACAAGCTCTACTGTGCTGTCCAGGCAAGGGGCAGGGCTCTCTCAAGTGCTGCAGCTGGTGAGAGATGGGGCCAGCTCTCCAGAGTGCTACAACCATTGAGGGGCCTGGTTCAGCTCTGCATAGCCCTTGGACACCTACTTAGTCTCAGGTGGCAGCCCAGACATCTGCATGGTGTTTAGTGGTAATATGAGCCACAGACCCCTGTTGCTGCATAGCCACAGACACTGACATGGTCTCAGCTGCAACATGGGCTAGGACTGCACCATGGCCTCGGGTGGCAGGGCAGGCTACTCACATGAAGCTGTTCCTCTCCATCCTCATGTCTCCAATTCCACCTCTCTTTGTGATGCTCAAACTGTTCCATTTTTCTCTCTCCCCTCTGTCTACCACCTACATGCACATTGCAGTAGCCTCTGGTTGTCTTCTACATCTCATGGTATGGTGGCAGGTGGGTCTCTGTATGTTTTCAGCCCACCTGCACCTTGAGTTGTTTTTTAATCTCTTTTTTTACTCATTTTGATGATAATGGCAGTAGTGGGCTTTTCTTTTTTTTTTCTTTTTTCTTTTTTTTTTTGTTTCTGTCTATATATGGTGGCTGTACATTGTGGTGCAGACCATTAATCCTAGCACTTAGGATTCAGAGGTGGATCTTTATGAGTTCAAAGCCAGTCTGGTCTACATAGAGAGTTCCTGGCTAGCCAGGGCTACAAAGTAAGACCTTGTCTCAAAAATAAAACAACAATAAAAATATGAAAAAAGTTAAAATCACATATAGTACTTAACTTTTTATTTGTCTTTATCTCTTTGGTATTAGGAAGAAGAATTAGAAGCCCAGATTTCCTTCCTGCAAGGACAGCTGAATGACCTAGACGCCATGTGCAAGTATTGTGCGAAGGTCATGGACACGCATCTTGGTAGGTGAACTACATTGCCCCTTGAAAGAACATTGGTCAGACGAGTGACGGTGGCACTGCTGTGTGCTAGGCCCACAGTGAATTCACTTGCTGAGTGAATCCTGTCCTTCACTTCTCACAAAAACCCCTGTGGTGGAGAAACTGTAGCTACCTACATTGCACTGATGCAGAAACAAGGACAGAGAGTAAACTGTGCTGAGATCCATCACAGGTAAGCAGAGTAGGAATTCAAACCAAAGGGAAATGAATGGACACTTTGCCTCCTAACTGCCACACTGCTGGTGGATGTGTCTGTTTCCAGCAAATAAAAAGGCTGAGCTCTTGAAACCAGTCAGATACATTGCTTGGGCCACCAGTCTGCAAGCACTAATACAGTTCTTAATTTGATAATGCTTTCTCTGGTGTATGAGCTATCCGTCATAAGTGCAGGACTCTGATTATGTGAGTCATAAATGTGCCACACCAAGAGATCTTCTGGAATTACCGTTTGTGAAGGTCCCATGTTTATGTTGTCTGCTAAGGCACTTTGTGTTCCTGCAGTAAGTGTGTGCTGCTTGTAGAAGCCTCCGTGTGGGTAGTACTCCTTGTTCTCAGCCCATGTGCAATACGCTGCTCTAGGATAACATGGCAGCATGGCAGCACCAGCCATTGTAAAAAGTCAGCGCACACTCACACACTCACACACACACACACGCACTCACACACGCACTCACACACACAGCATGTTCATCTCTGAGAGGAAACCAGAGGGTGTCCAACAAAGCCTCCTCCCACCAGCAGTTCCTGCAGGTGTCACTCATCCTTGGAGTCTGCTCTGGTGATGAATTCTCTACCCTCAGACCCCGTCAAGCAGTCTTTTAAGCCTGTGAGGTCATGAGTCTGTAACAAGTGACCAACAGGGCTGTCATTTGGATTAGCCTGACCCATGTTGACTTCAAGTGAGTAATAGTCTTAAGATGTGGAAGATACCAGTCTAAATTGCCTCCTGAAGCAACTGGCCAGGGCCTGCTCTATTCCAAGCCATTTTCTCCTCCCAAGCCTCTATTGGGAAAAATGGGGAAGAGGCAAAGGTAGTAGACTGTCCTGGTGGGATCTGCAGATCAGCAGAGAGGCTGCTGTCTGCCACAACCATAACCACAGCCCAGTGTGTCTGGTTCTTCTCCTTCCAAACCCTTTACATACTTGGTACTTGATGATTGTTTTAAAAGCATATGAGACCAGGTTTATATGCCTCTTCATATTCTCATAATGTGATCCTACTTGGAAATGCATCAACAAGAAGCAGTGGGTATGAGGAGGTGGCTCACTGGGTAAAGCACTGGCCCCACAAGCCTAAGAACTTGAGTGCACATTCCCAGAACTGTAGTTTAAAATAAAGTTGCACATTAACACAAGCCTCCATAGTCACAAAGGCACTTCCACGGAGAGATGGGAGGCAGAGGCAGGAGAATCACCAGAAGTTTCTGGGCTAACTGACCTGCCATAAACAGCTGGGAAGACTGTCTCACTCAGTTAGAAAGGCAAGGACTGAGCGTGGGACATTGTTTTCTGACCTTTATGTCCTCTGTGGCACAGGTATACACACACACATCTGCACAGCACACATATGCACAAAAGAATATAAAGCACTTACGAAGTAGTTTATATAGAAATAATGTGTGCTAGATGATTAACTTTGTTGTTTATATATAATTTAATTTTAAAGTGTCGGTGTGTGAATGTTCAGTTTCTTAGCTACTTGAGTCAGTGATGCTTTTATTATTTTGCATTTGGTTTTAAGTAAAAACTGCTTGGGAGAAAGATTTACCAAAACTTGAAAGAAATCCTTCTAGTTAATCCCCCAGTGGTTTGCTATACATGGCAGCTTGTAAAGCTGCTTTACTAATGCCTCAGAATGCCTGAGCAGCCTTTTCTCTGACTTTGGTCTTTTTTTTTTTCTTTTTTTAAATTGGATATTTTATTTACATTTCAGATGTTATCCCCTTACACCATTTCCCCCACCCAGGAACTCCCTATCCCATCCCCTCTCCTCCTGCTTCTATGAGGATGTGCTCCCCCCATCCCCCACCCCCACTGGGCATCCAGCCTTCATGGGACGAAGGATCTCCTCTTCCACCTATGCAGACAAGGCCATCTTCCCCTATATATACAGCTGAAGCCATGGGTCCCTCCCTATGTGCTCCCAGGCTGGTGGCTTAGACCCTGGGAGCTCTGGTTGGTTGGTATTGTTGCTCTCCTCATGGGGCCACAAACCCTTTCAGCTCCTTCAGTCTTCTCTCTAACTTCTCCATTGGGAACCCTATGAGTTCAATGGCAAGCTGTGAGCATCTGCCTCTGAATATGTCAGACTCTTGCAGACCTCTGAGGAGACAGCTATATCAGGCTCCTGTCAGCATGCACTTCCTGACTTTCACATCAGCATCTACCTTTGGTGACTGCACATGGGATGGATACCCAGGTGGAATGGTCTCCAGACGGCCCCTCCTTCAGTTTCTGTCCCACACTTTGTCTCCATATTTGCTCCCTTGAGTATTTTGTTACTCCTAAGAAGGACTGAAGAAGCACCCACACTTGGTCTTCCTGTTTCATGAGCTTCATGTGGTCTGTGAGTTGAATCTTGGGTATTTCAAGCTTCTGGGCTAATATCCAATTATCAGTGAGTGAATGCCATGTGTGTTCTTTTATGATTGGGTTATCTCACTCAGGATGATATTTTCTAGTTCCATCCATTTAGCTAAGAATTTCTCTAATTCATTGTTTTTAATAGCTGAATAATACTCTATTGTGTAAATGTGCCACATTTTTTTGTATCCATTCCTCTGTTGAAGGACATCTGGGTTCTTTCCAGCTTCTGGCTATTATAAATAAGCCTGTTATAAACATAGTGGAGCATATGTCCTTGCTATGTGTTGAAGCATCTTTTGGGTATATGCCCAGGAGTGGTATAGCTGGATCCTCAGGTAATCCTATGTCCAATTTTCTGAGGAACTGCCAGACTGATTTCCAGAGTGGTTGCACCATCTTGCAATCCCACCAACAATGGAGGAGTGTTCATCTTTCTCCACATCCTCGCCAGCATCTACTATCACCTGAGTTTTTGATCTTAGCCATTCTTACTGGTGTGAGATGGAATCTCAGGGTTGTTTTGATTTGCATTTTCCTGATGACTAAGGATGCTGAACATTCAAGGCCCATACCTAAACATAGTAAAAGCAATATATAGCAGACCAGTAGCCAACATCAAACTAAATGGAGAGAAACTTGAAGCAATCCCACTAAGATCAGGGACTAGACAAGGCTGCCCACTCTCTCCCTACCTATTCAATATAGTGCTAGAAGTCCTAGCCAGAGCAATTAGACAAAAAAAGGAAGTCAAAGGGATACAAATAGGAAAGGAAAAGGTCAAAATATTACTATTTGCAGATGATATGATAGTATACTTAAGTGACCCCAAAACTTCCACCAGAGAAATCCTAAACCTTTTATAAATAAAAAAAAAAAAAAAAAAAAACTTCAGCAAAGTGGCTGGCTATGAAATCAACGTAAACAAATCAGTAGCCTTCCTCTACTCAAAAGACAAACAGGCTGATAAAGAAATTAGGGAAATGACATGTTTCACAATAGTCACAAATAATATAAAATACCTTGGTGTGAATCTAACCAAGCAAGTGAAAGATTTATATGACAAGAACTTCAAGTCTCTGAAGAAAGAAATTGAAGCAGATCTCAGAAGATGGAAAGATCTCCCATGCTCATGTATCGGCAGGATTAATATAGTAAAAATGGCCATCTTGCCAAAAACAATCTATAGATTCAATGCAATCCCCATTAAAATCCCAACTCAATTCTTCACAGAGTTAGAAAGAGAAATTCTCAAATTCATTTGGAATAACAAAAAAAAAAAAAAAACAGGATGGCAAAAACTATTCTCAACTATAAAAGAACTTCTGGAGGAATCACCATCCGTGACCTCAAGCTGTACTGCAGAGCAATAGTGATAAAAACTACCTGGCATTGGTACAGAGACAGGCAGGAAGATCAATGGAATAGAATTGAAGACCCAGAAATGAACCCACACAACTATGGTCGCTTGATCTTTGTCAAAGGAGCTAAAACCATCCAGTGGAAAAAGGACAGCATTTTCAACAAGTGGTGCTGGTTCAACTGGAGATCAACATGCAGAAGAATGCAAATCGACCCATTTGTATCTCCTTGTACACAGCTCAAGTCCAAGTGGATAAAGGACCTTCACATAAAACCAGATACACTGAAACTAATAGAAGAGAAGGTGGGGAAGAACCTTGAATACTTGGGCACAGGGGAAAAGTTCCTGAACAGAACACCAATGGCATATGCTCTAAGATCAAGAATTGACAAATGGAACCTCATAAAATTGCAAAGTTTCTGTAAGGCAAAGGACACTGTCAATAGGACAAAACAGCAACCAACAGATTGGGAAAAGATCTTTACACATCCAATAGAGGGCTAATATCCAATGTATACATAGAACTCAAGAAATTAGACTCCAGACAACCAAATAACCCTATAAAAAAAAATAGAGTATAGAGCTCAACAAAGAATTCTCAATTGAGGAAACTCGAATGGCCGAGAAGCATCTAAAAACTTTGATCTTTTAACCAGTGCTAAGGGAGCATTTCTGGAGGCATGGGGAGGGGGCAGGGCTTCATTCAAATGGAAAGAAAAGCCCATGCCAACTGGGAGTGTCCAGCTACCTGCAGGGGTAGGTTTGTTCTGTGCATCCTCTCTCAGAATCCTTCACAGAACTGTTGGCTTCCTTATCCATATAAATAGCATGGCTGCATTTTTGAAAGTAGGGTTGAAGGATACTGGGAAGAACTGCCTTTCCCAACACCCTTGGATGCATCTGAGCAGCTGTACAAACCAACAGCAGTTACTTCTGGCTGTGGTTGATTTTTCACCTGAAGAAAGATTTGTATAAAACACAAAAATTTGATTCAGGTGATGTTCTTGATTTGTCT